TGTCCGTATGTGCTCAGTTATGGTTGCACTCATCTCAGTTAGTCTTGTTGGTTTGATTGCTGGTATGATTAGTGTATTGTTCATATTATTAATGAAATCAGCAACAGGTTGGTCATTTGTTAGGCCAAGGTTGATGTTGAAGTTTCCTGCTGGTAGTAGGTGGTGCTTATTCATTTGTGTATATGTAATCAGTGTTTTGAGTTTATCACTAAAGGCTGGGATATTAGTATGAGGCATCCTTTATATGGCCCCAGTTTGCAAATATATATTCACCATACTCATTAAAGGATATAGTGTTGCTACATGATAGTTCATTTGAATAATAGATGGCAGTACCTCCCCCAATTTGTTCTGGCCTGCAGTTGCGGATTGCTGTGTGTCCTGGTAGTGTGTAGATGTCTGTTGTGTCTTGTTTAAGCAAAGGTTTCAGTAAGACTAATACAGGAGAAGTTTGTCTTTAATGAATCTAAGAGTGTCAGATCATAGTGTTTACTTAGGGATTTAATTGTAATATTTCATTGCAGAGGACAGTACTGGCCTCTGTTGCTGTGTAGCAAAGGCAATTGCTTTCATTTAAATGGTGACTAGGATTTAGATTATATTCAGGGTCGCTGTCAGCATTGAGCATTTGGGGTTAACTGGCAAATATTTAAATGATGAACTGCAGCAGGGTGATAAGGGGTAATATTAATATCTGTATAAAGGGGGTGATTGAATAATAATGGTGTAAGTGTATATTGTTCCAGTAGATTGTAAAAAAAAGGTTTTATAGCAGTAGTACCTAAATTTGGATTGTGTTGCACTAACTCTATTATAGACCGCACACGCTAGACAGTAAAAAAACTATACAGTGGACCCCCGCATAACGATGGCATCACATAGCGATTATTTCGCATACCGCTTACTTTAATTGCAAAAATTTTGCCTCGCATACCGCTTAAAAACCCGCTTACCGATTTTCGTCCGAGACGCTTCCAATGTGCGGCCTGAGCCACGCTCACATGTTCCGCCGGTGGCATTGTTTACCAGCCAGCCTCCGCAATAACATCCAAGCATACAATCGGAATATTTCGTATTTTTACAGTGTTTTCGGTGCTGTTTCTGGAAAATAAGTGACCATGGGCCCCAAGAAAGCTTCTAGTGCCAACCCTGTGGTAAAAAGGTGAGAATTAGTATGGAAATTAAGAAAGATTTTGAAGGGTTTGGGGCTAACCCTGAGAAGCCTATGCCAGTTGTGGAATCCATTGTGCCTACTTCAAAAAATTAGGAAATGTGTGCACAGTGGGTTGAACTGCAAACCTTTATGGATGAAAATCACCCTGACACAGCTGTTGCAAGCCGTGCTGGTGAATATTTCAATGACAAGTTGTGGCCCATTTTAGACCCAAAACGTAAAGGAACGGGAGGTTTCAGAGCTCTATGGACAGATTTGTTGTGCGACAGAGGTCCAATGACTCTCAAGCTGGTCCTAGTGGCATTAAAAGAAGAAGGGAAGAAAACCCCGGAAAGGACTTGCTACCTCAAGTCCTAATGGAAGGGGATTCCCCTTCTAAACAGTAAGAAGATAATGCTCTCCCCTCCTCCCATCCCATCAATCATCACCAGATCTTCAATAAAAGTAAGTGTCATGTAAGTGTGCATGCCTTTTTCAGTTTGTGTGTATTAAAATTAACATTTCATGTGGTAAAAAAATTTTTTTTTCATACTTTTGGGTGTCTTGCACGGATTAATTTTATTTCCATTATTTCTTATGGGGAAAATTCATTCACATAACGATTATTTCGCATAACGATTACCCCTCTTGCACGGATTAAAATCGTTAACCGGGGGTCCACTGTAGTTCTATACTAATGGAGGACAATAAAAGATAGTTACAAATATAAAAAATTAGAATTGTGTACCTTTTTAGGCAAACAAGATGGTGATCTTGAAGTGTCTAACAAGAGTATAAACTATAAGGTAGTGATTGGACAGCTTATATATTTCACTGCTGTCAGATTGACAATATAGAAATGAGAATTAGGTTTTACAGAAAATAATTGTAATAAAGTTGGTAGAATTACCGACAATATGTAAAGTAAAAGGGCACAAGTGCAACTAATGTGACATTTTTTTGTGGCAACGTTTCGCTCTCCAGGAGCTTTATCAAGCCAAATTTCGTAATGGCTTGATAAAGCTCCTGGAGAGCGAAACGTTGCCACAATAAATGTCACATTAGTTGCACTTGTGTCCTTTTACTTTACAGAAAATAATTGGTTAAAAACAATTGGAGTTTAATAACACTACTTGTGGAAAGTAGGTACAAACTGCATTTTATTCTGACTCGGTTAAGCAAAGATCACTTAGGAATTTTTTTAGTTCTTGTTCAGTAGAAATGAAATATCTCCTTCCTGTCATTTCCTTCTTGGCTGCAATTTTTCCATCACTTGCAAAGCATTGGTGGATTTTTCTGTCATATCAGAGCATATCAGTATTTAGATAAAGGTAGGGAAGTTTTTATTGCATTTATGGATTTAGAAAAGGCATATGATAGAGTGGATAGAGGAGCAATGTGGCAGATGTTGCAAGTTTATGGAATAGGTGGTAAGTTACTAAATGCTGTAAAGAGCTTTTATGAGGATAGTGAGGCTCAGGTTAGGGTGTGTAGAAGAGAGGGAGAATACTTCCCGGTAAAAGTAGGTCTTAGACAGGGATGTGTAATGTCACCATGGTTGTTTAATATATTTATAGATGGGGTTGTAAAAGAAGTAAATGCTAGGGTGTTCGGGAGAGGGGTGGGATTAAATTATGGGGAATCAAATTCAAAATGGGAATTGACACAGTTACTTTTTGCTGATGATACTGTGCTTATGGGAGACTCTAAAGAAAAATTGCAAAGGTTAGTGGATGAGTTTGAGAATGTGTGTAAAGGTAGAAAGTTGAAAGTGAACATAGAAAAGAGTAAGGTGATGAGGGTATCAAATGATTTAGATAAAGGAAAAATGGATATCAAATTGGGGAGGAGGAGTATGGAAGAAGTGAATGTTTTCAGATACTTGGGAGTTGACGTGTCGGCGGATGGATTTATGAAGGATGAGGTTAATCATAGAATTGATGAGGGAAAAAAGGTGAGTGGTGCATTGAGGTATATGTGGAGTCAAAAAACATTATCTATGGAGGCAAAGAAGGGAATGTATGAAAGTATAGTAGTACCAACACTCTTATATGGATGTGAAGCTTGGGTGGTAAATGCAGCAGCGAGGAGACGGTTGGAGGCAGTGGAGATGTCCTGTCTAAGGGCAATGTGTGGTGTAAATATTATGCAGAAAATTCGAAGTGTGGAAATTAGGAGAAGGTGTGGAGTTAATAAAAGCATTAGTCAGAGGGCAGAAGAGGGGTTGTTGAGGTGGTTTGGTCATTTAGAGAGAATGGATTAAAGTAGAATGACATGGAAAGCATATAAATCTATAGGGGAAGGAAAGAGGGGTAGGGGTCGTCCTCGAAAGGGTTGGAAAGAGGGGGTAAAGGAGGTTTTGTGGGCAAGGGGCTTGGACTTCCAGCAAGTGTGCATGAGCGTGTTAGATAGGAGTGAATGGAGACGAATGATACTTGGGACCTGACGATCTGTTGGAGTGTGAGCAGGGTAATATTTAGTGAAGGGATTCAGGGAAAACCGGTTATTTTCATATAGTCGGACTTGAGTCCTGGAAATGGGAAGTACAATGCCTGCACTTTAAAGAAGGGGTTTGGGATATTGGCAGTTTGGAGGGATATGTTGTGTATCTTTATACGTATATGCTTCTAAACTGTTGTATTCTGAGCACCTCTGCAAAAGCAGTGATAATGTGTGAGTGTGGTGAAAGTGTTGAATGATGATGAAAGTATTTTCTTTTTGGGGATTTTCTTTCTTTTTTGGGTCACCCTGCCTCGGTGGGAGGCGACCGACTTGTTGAAAAAAAAAAAAAAAATCAGAGCTTTCTTAGTCTGTATAGGAGATGTTGTCTTTTGGTCAGGCGCTTGTTGATATTGATACTAGTAGATGTCCTTAATAATTCATTTCTTTGTGAGCTGGAGTTGAACTTTAGTATCACTGATTTCTTCCCAGTTTGATAACCTATCGCTTTACACTCCTTTATGTCATCACCAGGTATGTTGAGACGAAGATGATCTTGTATAAGTTGAGGTGGTTTGTTTACAATTTTTTGAATTATATTTGGTGGTAGAAGGTTGTTGTTTACTACAACTTAATCAGATAGTTATTGTTGGTAGAAGTGGTCTTGGAAATTGTTCGTAACATCGGTAAGTTGCAAATCCACTTTTGCTCTTTCGTTCTTGATGTTGATATTTAGTTGGGTAACTTGATCTTTTAGATGGTTGATGGTGTCCTTTGACTGGGTGTGAGTGTTGCTTAGTTGTTCCATTGTGTGTCAAGTTTATACTCTAGACTATTTGTTGTTTGTAGTTCCTTAATTTCCTGGGCTAACATATCATTGGAGGTTTTAAGTTCCTGCATTTCCTGAGTTATCATGATGATTTTTTGATTCCGGATCCTAATGAGTTTAGCTGTTTCTGGGTCAATAATGTTCATATCAAATCCATGGAAGGAATTAGTACCAAATTTGCTAACGAAAATCACTCCATTCAGGACCAAAAGACTCGGCAGGAGATGTAGCATTCCCCCCAATGAAAAGAAGAGGAGCCACGAGTATGCTAAGAGACAACACAGTAAGTGTCAAAGACCCAAGACTGTTCAACTGCCTCCCATCATATGTAAGGGGGATTACCAGTAGACCCCTGGCTGTCTTCAAGATGGCATTGGACAGGCACCTAAAGTTAGTACCTGATCAGCCGGGCTATGGCTCGTACGTCAGTTTACATGTAGCCAGCAGTAACAGCCTGGTTGATCAGGTCCTGATCCACCACAAGGCCTGGTCATGGACTGGGTCGTGGGGGCACTGATCCCTGAAACCCTCTCCAGGTATAATCCAGGTATCCCATAGCTTCTCTCCTTTTCTCCTCAGAGGAACAGTGGTGATGCAGCACAGATTTTTCATGACACTGCTGGCTGGCGGAACTTGGAAACAAGCATGAAGTGTCTTGAGCATATGATCGCTGGTTCTGGAGCAAACTTTCTTCCTTACATTGACCAAGTAAGTTAAATACATCTGACCAGTAGAAGATGAGTTGTGTTGACATGAAATTTGGACTAAGGGTGGAGGAAGGGCTAAAAGAATACGTAGGAGGGAGATACATATTTTCTTTCTTTCAACACACTGGCCATATCCCACCGAGGCCGGGTGGCCCAAAAGGAAAAACGAAAGTTTCTCCTTTTACATTTAGTAATATATACAGGAGAAGGGGTTACTAGCCCCTTGCTCCTGGCATTTTAGTTGCCTCTTACAACACGCATGGCTTACGGAGGAAGAATTCTGTTCCACTTCCCCATGGAGATAAGAGGAAATAAACAAGAACAAGAACTAGAAAGAAAACAGGAGAAAACCCAGAGGGGTGTATATATATATATCTTCTTCTTCTTTCAACGTACCAGCCGTATCCCACCGAGGTGGGGTGGCCCAAAAGGAAAAACAAAAATTTCTCCTTCCATATTTAGTAATATATACAGGAGAAGGGGTTACTAGCCCCTTGCTCCTGGCATTTTAGTCGCCTCTTACAACACGCATAGCTTACGGAGGAAGAATTCTGTTCCACTTCCCCATGGAGATAAGAGGAAATAAACAAGAACAAGAGCTAGTAAGAAAATAGAAGAAAACCCAGAGGGGTGTGTATACATATGCTTGTACATGTATGTGTAGTGTGACCTAAGTGTGAGTAGAAGTAGCAAGACATACCTGAAACCTTGCATGTTTATGAGACAGAAAAATGGACACCAGAAATCCTACCATCATGTAAAACAATTACAGGCTTACATTTTACACTCACTTGGCAGGACGGTAGTACTTCCCTGGGCGGTTGCTGTCTACCAACCTACTACCTAGAAGATACATATTTACAGGTTCATAATATGTGCACTTTAGTCCAGATAAACACAGGCCTTTGGTGGAGGAAGGAGAGAGGATTATGATTCGTAAGTTTATTCAGGTATACACAAATACAGTTACATAGATTATACATAGCAACATATGTGTAGAGAACCTAGAATAACCAAAAAAGTCAGATAGTGAATTTTTATTTGAATTTTTTATATATTTTGATTAGTTTCATATATTTTTGTTATATGGTAATTTGATGCCTGTCATTTATGCTCTTTTTATTGTTGAAATAAGTAATGTGTTTTTCCCCTCAGTTTTGTATTGTATGTATAGTGATTATGATTAAATATTGGAATTTTTTGACAAAATTAATTTTTTTTTGTCTATTTGGTACATGAATGGTAAGCTCATTTTTGTTTGTTTTGCAAACATTAGTAAAGAAGTGTGGAATTTGCAAAGTTTCATAACGAATCCCTATCCTTTACATGTTATATTGGGTTGGCTTTATGTGCCATTGTAGGAGGGAGACCTGTACATTCATTTCCTTCATATTCCTTCTTTCTATTTTTATTCTGTAATTAGGATTCTGTAGTATATTAGCTGGGTTAAAATAATAAATTTTCAAAAATTAAATTAAATGACTTGTTATTTTAGTGTGATTTGGTCACAAGTTGAAATAAAAATCCATATATTTTTAATATTGTATTTTATCATTATAATAAGTCATCATTCTTGTGCAGCAGTACCGAGTGATTATGGTGTATTTATTTTTTTAAAATTTAATACTTTACTAATATTTTTGCGCTTCTATACCTGTACATGTAATGCATTATTGTGTATGTTGTGTAGGATCTACTGGACCTAATCTTTAAAGCTCTGTGTCATACCAACCGCTTTGTGAGGGAAACTGGCTACAACGTGTGTGCTGCTCTGGTGTCATGTGGACCATATGGTAAGTCTTAACTCAAGAGAGTTTTTAATAACTTTTTTGGATGTATGTAGTATTATATTATAAAGTTAATCCTTCAAGTGGCTGTAGATGTTTGTTTTGTTATTTTTATATTTCGTAATAAGTTCTTCAGACAAAAGTCATGGGCTAAATTTTTAGACTAAATCTAAAATTCATTTCCTGGATAACATTGACAAGGACTTTCATTTATTTTTAATTATATTATGTCTTAATTAGATAAAACTGTTGGATTAGTTGTTTTATAGTTTGTGCCTTGTGTTTTGTAAATAGATTTACTGACTGGCATAATGGGTTTCAATAAGCATGTGACACACATTGTGTGACATACACATTTTTTTGGGTGACAGGTTCTTATGGGTGATTGTGTTGTTCATTTTATTATCATTGTTTCTGGTTAGGGTCAGTACAGGAGTGTTGTGTCCTAGGTGAGCCTGCAACTTTTCTTTACTTTTGAACATTGATGTTATTCCTTAGTAGAAAAAAATTTGCACATATAACTATTATCTTGCATGACACAGGGGAATACTGCTTTATAATGTGGACTGTTTATTGTCATTATTGTACTCTTTTTCACTTGGTATGCAGTACAAGAGCTGATCATAGGAATTTAATTTTTTTCCTTTTGTTGCTTTCACTTTAGCTAAAGTAGAAATAAGTTTCTTCAGGTCAGTGCTTTGTGCAGTTTGACAAATTGGATAGCCCAGTAAAACTTTGCTCAACACTGCAACATCGTAAATAAGAAGTAATGAGAAACTTGGGTGAAATTCTAGAAACTTGACAGTTTAAGCTGGGGCCAGTGCAGTAGTTAATGGAGGAAATTTTGAAGCTCACATGTGCATTTACCAAAAAAAAAAAAAAAAAAAAAAAAAAAAAAAAAAAAAAAAAAAATGTGGAGAGTGATATTTGTCATACCAGCACCAAGTGTTTTCTTTAGTGCTGTATTTATTTATTATTAACACATTGGCCGCCTCCCACCAAGGCAGGGTGGCCCGAAAAAGAAAATCATTCGTCATCATTCACTCCATCACTGTCTTGCCAGTGGCATGCTTTTACTACAGTTATAAAACTGCAACATTAACACCCCTCCTTCAGAGTACAGACACTGTACTTCCCATCTCCAGGACTCGAGTCCAGTCCGCCGGTTTCCCTGAATCCCTTCATGTATGTTACCTTGTTCACACTCCAACAGCATTGTCTCCATTCGCTCCTATCTAACACGCTCACGGATGCTGGCTAGATGTCCAAGCCCCTCACACACAAAACCTTCTTTACCCCCTCCCTCCAACCTTTCCTAGGCTGACCTCTTCCCAGCCTTCCCTCCACTACAATTTATACACTCAGTCATTCTATTTTGTTCTACCCTCTCTGCATGTCCGAACCTTCTCAACAACCCCTCTTCTGCCCTCTGGATAATAGTTTTGGTAATCTTGCACCTCCTAATTTCCAAATTAAGAATTCTCTGCATTAAATTCACACCACACATTGCTTTCAGACATGACATCTCCACTGCCTCCAGCCTTCTCCTCGCTGCAACATTTATCACCCATGCTTCACACCCATATAAGAGCGTTGGTAAAACTATACTCTCATACATTCCCCCTTGGAGGCAAAGAGGGGAATGTATGAGAGTATAGTTTTACCAACGCTCTTATATGGGTGTGAAGCATGGGTGATGAATGTTGCAGCGAGGAGAAGGCTGGAGGCAGTGGAGATGTCATGTCTGAGAGCAATGTGTGGTGTGAATATAATGTAGAGAATTCGTAGTTTGAAAGTTAGGAGGAGGTGCGGGATTACCAAAACTGTTGTCCAGAGGGCTGAGGAAGGGTTGTTGAGGTGGTTCAGACATGTGGAGAGAATGGAGCGAAACAGAATAACTTCAAGAGTGTATCAGTCTGTAGTGGAAGGAAGGCAGGGTAGGGGTCGGCCTAGGAAAGGTTGGAGGGAGGGGGTAAAGGAGGTTTTGTGTGCGAGGGGCTTGGACTTCCAGCAGGCATGCGTGAGCGTGTTTGATAGGAGTGAATGGAGACAAATGGTTTTTAATACTTGACGTGCTGTTGGAGTGTGAGCAAAGTAACATTTATGAAGGGGTTCAGGGAAACCGGCAGGCCGGACTTGAGTCCTGGAGATGGGAAGTACAGTGCCTGCACTCTGAAGGAGGGGTGTTAATGCTGCAGTTTAAAAACTGTAGTGTAAAGCACCCTTCTGGCAAGACAGTGATGGAGTGAATGATGGTGAAAGTTTTTCTTTTTTGGGCCACCCTGCCTTGGTGGGAATTGGCCAGTGTGATAATAAAAAAAAAAAAAATAATCTTCACTGATCTTGATTGATAATTTTTTTTTTTTTTTCAACAAGTCGACCGTCTCCCACCGAGGCAGGGTGACCCAAAAAGAAAGAAAATCCCCAAAAAGAAAATACTTTCATCATCATTCAACACTTTCACCTTACTCACACATAATCACTGTTTGCAGAGGTGCCCAAAATACAACAGTTTAGAAGTATATACGTATAAAAATACACAATATATCCCTCCAAACTGCCAATATCTCAAACCCCTCCTTTAGAGTGCAGGCATTGTACTTCCCATTTCCAGGACTCAAGTCTGGTTATATAAAATAACTGGTTTCCCTGAATCCCTTCACTGAATATTACCCTGCTCACACTCCAACAGCTCGTCAGGTACCAAATACCATTTGCCTCCATTCACTCCTATCTAACATGCTCAGTTTATTTTTTTAATGTGTACTTATGTCCCCTCCTGATTGGTTAGTGTAAGAGTAATGGGTGATGTTACTAATATGAGGAATCAGTGATAAACTTTAAAGATAATGTTGTGTCAGAATTGAGACAATTTGGTTGATGCCATTAACTGAATATTATAATAAAAAATGGGTAATGGATGACAGTGAAGCTAACCTATCTAACAGATCAGCCTAACATGATTATCTGAAATATTACTACACATGAATTTGAATAGATTAGATATAGAGTTGTCATCACCATTCCTAGACTTATTATGAACATTTGACAATACTAAGGGTAAAAATATAGATATTTTTCACAAATCTACTAATAATCTAATTACCAAATTCTTTCCTTGTAGATGGTGCAGAATTACTGGAAACAAACCCTGTGTTCCTGTTTGGTGACCAGTTGTCACGTTACCTTGGAAAGGGTTTGGCTGACAATTGGAGCCAGGTGAGATTTTTTTTTTTTCTGTTACTACTGCAATTACCACTTAACATGAATCATAACGAGAGTAATATGTATTGTGGAAAATGTGCCCTCTTTCAAATTTAACCCCAGAATTAAAAGTACGAACAATGTTGGGAATTTAAAAAAAAAAATTCTTCTGAAATATTAGAAAACCCTTTTCTGAACATAATGACATCAGAAATACGAAATTTAATGGAAAACTTAAGGAATTAAGGCACAAAGCTGGTAGTCTGGGCACAATTTATGCATCAGCAATTTTGGCCACTTTGAGTCCTATTTTAGAGAGGATGGAAAATAATAGAATGACTTGGAGGGCGTATAAATCTGTAGTGAAAGGAAGGCGGGGTAGGGGTTGTCTTAGGAAAGTTTGGAGTGATGGGGTAAAGGAGGTTTTGTGAGCAAGTATCTTGGACTTCAAGCAAGTGTGCATGTGCATGTTAGATAGTGATGAAATTAAGACACATGTGCAACATCTGGATATCTTTATTGTAGACATTTCGCCATCCAGTGGCTTTATCAATACAAATTCTAGGACATAACTTGAAGACAGTAGGACTATATACAGAAGATGAGGTAATCAGTCCCTCAACCTTGGAGTAGGTGCGAAGAGCACCGTAGTCGCTTATATAGTAACAGCAGCGCTTATATAGTAACATCAGGTGTAGCAGACGAGGGCATAGTCACTGGTACGCGGGATTCCCCAGTGGAAGTAGGTCCTTCCCAAAGAGATGGGTTAGTTGTAGTAGTAGTTGTCGTAGTCATGAAGGTTATGTACATGTCCTCAGAATCAAGATTCCATGATGTTGCAGTGTCTGACAAGTTGTGCACATGTTAGATAGTGAGTGGAGGCAAATGGTATTTATGATGATGTGCTGTTGGAGTGTAAGCAAGTTAACATTTACAAAGGGATTCAGGGAAAATGGTTAGCTGGACTTAGTCTGGAAGGGGGGAGGTACAGTGCCTGTTCTCCGAAGGAGGGATGGAGATACATGTATGTTACAGTTTTTGAACTGTAATGTAGGCATGCCTTTGGCAAGACAGTGATGGAATGAGTGATGATGAAAGTGCTTCTTGCTTTTTTTGGGTCCCACTACCTCGGTTGGATATGGCCGATGTGTTAATAAAATAATAAAAAAGTTTTTTTCTTTCAACATTTCGGCCATCTCCCACCGAGGCAGAGTGACCCCAAAAAAAGAAACACTTTCACCATCATTCACACATAATCACTGTCTCTGTAGAGGCACTCAGATATGACAATTCAGATGTCACTCCAAACAGCCAATATCCCAAACCCCCTCCTTTAATCCCTTAACTTTCCAAACGTAGATCTACGTTGTTACCGCTAGCACTCCAAACGTAGATCAACATTTTATTTTTCCTGCTTCCAAATTTGGCACGATTGGCCTGAGATGCCTGGTCAGCACAGAATGGGTCTTAACACTTGGTATGTGCAGTATTAAAAAAATCTGGGACCACTTAGTACCTTGTGGGAGCACCTGTTCAATTGAGCGCCAGCTAGAGCAAACAGCACAGCATACACCAGGGATTCACTGATGTCGTATCGTATTAACACTTCCCTTTTAAGAGGAAAGTGATGTTGACCCCGAGTTAAGTGGTTTTGAGGTGGCTGTGGCCACAAGTGGTTGAGGAAATGTCAAAAACCTTGATAATAACCCATGTGCAACATCCTTACAATTTTGGTACCACTGGTAATCTCATCTGGCCAGAATGTCCTGTAACCTATGCTGTAAGTAAAGAGAAATAATTCCTGAACGTGTAATACATGTTCGGCAGGCTGGCTGGTGGCTGGCTGGTGGCTGGCTGGTGGCTGGCTGGGTGGCTGGCTGGTGGCTGGCTGGGTGGCTGGCTGGGTGGCTGGCTGATTGGCTGTCTCTATCTCCATCTGTCTGTATCTGTCTCTATTTCTATCTCACAGGTACACATAATTACAATTATACATAGTGTAAATTACCAAGGATAACCCAAAAAATCCAGACAGTGCTATACTGTGCTTGTAGATATAATGAATAATAAGCATGACTGGCAAGTAATACGCATTTTCACTTGTTTGGGAATCAGATGTGACTACTCTGCATCTCTGCATCATGTGTAATGCCTGTTGGTTCACAAGTCGCTCTCTCTGAGACAGAAGGAGAGACAAGCAGAGCGACAGAAAGACATAAGCAGAGACAGATAAACAGAGAACTAGATAGACAGATGGACAGACAGACAGACAGACAGACATGTTTATGTGTAACAGTGAAAACAAATAAAGCCAAGGCAGTGCACGATCACCAAATGTCACTCCACTGCTGCACTGTCAATAGTGGAGTGACTGTCTTACACCATGCTTCAAGGAGCTTTATATATGTACTCCCGCATGTCTAAAACATTGCTGGGACCTATAAATACTATGCATATAGTTCTAGACAATAGTATGTGACTAAGGTAGGTGAAAATGTTTACCTGTCACTGTGTTTGTGACTGAGTACTGTTTCAGTACCTAATGTTAGTGTCAGAACAAAGATTGGCTATGAAATCACAAGAACTACTAATTATCAGAACATATAAATTATATAAATTAAAAAAAAATGAGAAAAAAAAGGCATGTCAGCAACATTTCTGCAAGCAGCAGCGCTTCATGTTGCCATCAGGTGAGCGACAAGCGCTGACTTTGCTGCCTTATATCTCGGTAAGTGCTGCTCTAAATTTTTTTTTATATTATTACATGTAAGAAATGTCTTCTTTATTTAAAAAAAAAAAAAAGATTTTCATAATATTCGGAGCACTGGGCGAGAGAACGTAGAACGTAGATCTATGTTTGGACAGTTTAAGGGTTAAAGTGCATGCATTTTACTTCTCAGTTCAGCCAAATTCTTAGCTATTTTGCTAGTATCTTTCCATTTTATTGATTTAGCAAAAAAAAAAAAAAGTATCAGAACCCCCTTTTAAAGTTCACAGATATCAGTAATTTAACCAGTTTTATACAAAATTAAAAAAAATTAATTTAAAAAGAGAATCCAAATCAAATACTGTAGGCATTCCAGGCACTAAGGCTACATTTCCTCTGTTTATTAACCCCTTGAGGGTCTGTGCCATAGATCTACGGCTTTACGTTGAGGGTCCAAACCGTAGATCTACGTCATGAGCTCAGCTCACTCTGATAAGCTGTGAGCGGTAAATTTTGGCCTTGATATGAGAGAATACATCTATGTGGTATGTGTGCACCACATAAAACAAATCCTGCAGCACATAGTGCATAATGAGAGAAAAAAAACTGAGAATGTAATTTTCGATTACAACAGCAACTTTGCAGTGTTTTTCGTATGTTTTTTATAGTTGTATTTGCGATTTCTTGGTCTCATTTGATAGAATGGAAGATATATTACAGAAATAGAAATTATTTTGATTGGTTTTAGTAGTGGAAATGGCTTGAAACTGAGCTCAAAGTAGCGGAAATGTTAAATTTTTGCCAATGTTCAAGAGTAAACAAATGACCTCACACGTCTAATACATGCCTTCTGGTGGGTCTAATATACGTTCACAAATGTGATGATATTATTTATACAATTATTACAATATTTCATAACAGTAAATCTTCTATTTTTTGGTTTGAATAAAAATTCATTATGCGAATAAAAATTCAAAATGGAATTCATTAGTAAAGCCTGAAAACATAACTAATGAACAGAGGAAATGTTAGTTTAGTGCCAGGAATGCCTGCATTGTTTATTCTGGACCATATTTTGAAATTGGAGTATTGTGAACTTTGCATTAAATTGGCCAAATTACCAATTTCCGATCACTTTATTTTATAGTTGAAACAGTTGACTTGGCGATTTCTTATGCTCAGTCGATAGAATAGAAGTAATACTAGTGAAATAGCTAAGAATTTGGTCGACTGGAATAATGTAATTGGCCTAAAATGGGAGTCAAAGTCGGCAAAATCGCCAATGCGTAAATAGCGCCGACACATCAGAATTCGCAAGAGCATAATTTCGTCAATTTTCCATCAAATTTCGTACTTTTTTTTTTATTACCTTCAGAAAAAGATTCTCTACCATTTCATAAGAAGAAAAAATAAAATTATTTTTTGAAAATTCTTGGACACTGGTACACCCATTGAAATTTGGCCTCTGGACCCTGAAAGGGTTAATCACGTCCTCAGGCCTCTCTTATATTGCATATTGCACTTGTCCTCTGTTTTGAATTCATCATCACAAAAAATCAATGTTATATTCTACTTCTTGGATAAAAAAATATAACAAGGAATGACTAGTCATGGTTTAGGGCAACTCAATAATTGAAGCTAACCTAATAAAAACCCATAAAACAGATTGAGGAGGTTAGGAAAATTGTCAAAAATCGAATATTTCCCCTACTTTGAACCAGATTTCAAGCTATTTCCAGTAATAAAACAGTCAATAAAACTATGAAACCCATCCTAGAAAACACCTAATGAGCTATTTTAAATCAAACACAAGGTCAGCAGTTTGCTTTTCCCATCATATACTCAGTAGGGCAGGATTTTTTTTGTATACTGTACACACCACACACTCATTTTGTCATGTCTAGGCCAAAATTTACTACTCACAGCTTATCTGAGAGATGAGCTCAGAATGTAGATCAACATGAGGGACCCTGACATCATAACATAGATCTATGTGATGGCCACTGAAGGGGTTAAAAATGCTGACATTGTCATAATTTAAAAAAAAAAAAAATCATCTGAAATGGTAGAGAATCTTTCTGAAGGTAATGACACCAAAAATACAAAATTTGATCTTAAACTTGTAGAATTGTGCAGGCACAGAGTTGGTGGACTGGGTGCAATTTATACATTGTCAATTTCACCCACTTTGAATCCTGTTTTAAACCAATTCTATTGATCAGTTTGACCAGATTCTTAGCTATTTTGCTAGTATGCCTTGTGTTCTGTTATTATATGCAAGAAACTGCTCATTTAAGTATTGGAACCATCC